AATTTAATTATATTTTATATATTTTTATTTTTTTTTTTTTTTTTTTTTTGTGTATAATTTTTTTTTTTTTATATGATTTTTAAAAAAAAGTCAGGTAATTTACTCTGTCACTGCTGTTGTTAGTAAATCTAAAATCTGTTTTCTTAAAAACTACTCATTGTCTCACGTCAGTGTTCTGGTAGGCGGTGACAGCAATGAACTGGGTCTCAGGAAAAGTGAAGCACTGGGTTTTAACGTCGCCGCTGATGTCCTCCGCACCGTCCTCCCCCACCTCCACGATGTGCAGCCGAGGCTGGTACTTGTGCAGCGACTGCAGCACGATCATCTGCAGACACATAAACAAACAAACAATAAACACAAACATTACAGGTGTAGCAGCTCCCATCTGTCAGCATCACATCGGTGCAAAAAGAGTTTCAGCGGCTTTTTCTTGTTCCAAGACTAAATTATTTAATTTAGATTCCGTTTTATTTATTTATTTATTCAAATAATTTAAACTGGGAGATAAATAAATGAAAACTATTTTAATTTGAAGTCCTGATAAGATTTAAAAACTATGAGAAAACAAACTTACAGTCAAGTTAAACTAAATAAAAATATTTAAACACATTTCAGTGACTGACATTAAACTGCATGTTTAGTTTGTTTTACAGACGAGCAGCCACTGTGTTTGTGCTTGTTTTGTTGTTGTTGTTTGTTTACCAGGGATGTGCAATTTTGTTGTTGTTTACCTGGAATGTGCTGTTTTGTTGTTGTTTGTTTACCTAGTATGGGGTATTTTGCTGTTGTTTACCTGGGACATAGTATTTTGTTGTTTGTTTAGCTAGGGCATGGTATTTGGTTGTTATTGTTTCCCTGGGATGTGCTGTTTTATTGTTGTTGTTGTTTACCTGGGATGTGGCATTTTGTTATTTGTTTATCTAGGGCATAGTATTTGGTTGTTGTTTGTTTACCTGGGACATGCTGTTTTGTTGTTTGTTTTCTTGGGATGTGGCATTGTGTTGTTGTTCACCTGAGATGTGCTGTTTAGTTGTTGTTTACTTGGGACGTGTTGTTTAGTTGTTCTTTACCTGGGACGTGCTGTTGTTTACCTGGGACGTATTGTTGTTTACCTGGGACGTGTTGTTGTTGTTTACCTGGGACGTGGTGTGGCTGCTGCCCTTGTTGTTGGTCAGTTTGAGTTTGCTGAAGGAGATCTCTTGTCTCATCCAGTGGGCACCGGTGTTTGGGGACTCTGGATGAATGTAAACTTTGTTTCCTAAAATAAATAAATAAATAAATAAATAAATAAACAAAATCAAGCTGTAAATAAATAAACAAAATCAAGCTGTAAATAAATAAAAAGTGATTCAGAGTAACAACAACATCTAGTCTAAGCAGCAGAGTTTACTTGATTTTTATCCCAGGAGGGAAAAGTTCTTGACCCGGTTCCGTACCTTGGCTGCTGTTGTCCGCCTTCCCGCAGGTGACCCATTTGCCCCCCTGGAACCTCCAGTGGTTCGGGTCGGACAGAACCACCTCCACGAACACGTTGTAGTGCGAGGACACGTTCAGCCCCGCGATGTTGAAGCTGAGGAAGGGGAACATCCTCCTGGGAACACACACACCCAGAATCAAACACAACCCTCACTGCTGCCTCTTGGCCCGGTTCGGCCCGGCCTGGACCGCCTCACCTGCCCTGCTTGGTGATGATCATCTCGGTCTGGTGCCGGTGGAACTTGAGCCACAGGGCCCGGTTGCAGAGGTACACCTGGGCCCTCAGGCCGGGGCCCCCGCCCAGGCCCACGCTGCTCAGGGCGGCCCCGGGGCCGGTGTAGGGCGGGTAGAGGCAGCCCAGGTTCTGTCCGTGCTGGTAGGGCGGGCTGAGGTGGGCCGAGGGGGGGTACCCGGCCGGAGGCAGCACGGAGCCCAGGTGCAGCGAGGACGGGTACCTGCCTGCGCCCGGCGCGCTGTACACCGCTCCACCGGGTGGGTACGGCAGGAACGACGCCTCCGGGTTCTGCTTAGAAACCGTGTTCGGGATGTAGTACCGGTCTGAACCCATTCCGCGTGGTTCCGAGTACCTGTTCCCCGCCGCGGACTCGTCTCCATCCGCGGCGGGAGACGCGCGCTTCTCGTCCTTAGCGGCCGAGTAGCTGCTCTCCCCCTCAGCTCCGAGCATGATTCAACCGGTCCGGTTGGCAGAACCTTTGGTTTCGAACAAAACTGCACCCGAACCTTTTCTCTCTCCGGTACCAAGGGCGTGTTCTACTTAAATGTCTCCTTTGGGCCTCCGCCGGGGTCTGAGCTGAGGGTCAACACAAAAACCGGGAAAAGTTCAATGGAGTCTGGTCGCTTCAGGCAAAAAGGCCCCCCGTCCAAATTGTGGCCTAAATTAAAATGTTTGTTTAAAAGGAAATTATTTGTGCTAAAAAAAATAAAAACATACAGAATTTAACATAAAAACATTTTAGTTTTTTCTCAGTTTAATATTCTTATTTATGGAAATTAGTTTTTATCAGTTTAAATTATTTATCAGTTTAATGTTGATTATAACAAAGTTAAGTCAGATCATTTGGATGGATGCATAAAATAAAATAAACAAGATTAAATTAATTAAAAAAATAAAAGATTTTTTTTACCTGGATTATTGAGCATGCATCAGGATATTTAATGGTTTTTTTTTTGTTTTTGATGAGCACAAGTGTTGTTTTAAATGCAAATTTAAAACCCACCTCTGATGAAGTGCCCTTTTATTATTATTACTATTATTATTATTATTGTTGTAATTATTGGCGCGAATCTGCTGGGCCAGTATTTTATTTTATTTTTCTAGATCGCGTGACAAACCTGGGGGGGGGGCTTTAAAGGTGAAAACTCGCCCACGGTTCAAGACAATTTTGTAATTTTGTCACATCAGCTTCAAAAGTTAATTTCAGTCAGGATATGCTCAAATGAAAAAATATAACGTGCTTTTAATATAAACTTAAGTGTTAAAATATATTTAAACCGGAGATGATATATATATATATAAATTATAACTCAGGAAAATTTTCAAAAATGCATTTATTTTTCATTCATTCAACCTTTATTTATCCAGGTTAGTCTCACTGAGTCGTGACTCATTTACAAGAGACCAGTTTTAAACAAAAACCATAAATTAGGTACACAATCAACATTCATATGAAAGCCTATAAAATGAAAAGTATATAAAAGTAGTGACACAAAACAAAATAAAATAAAAAAACATACTAAATTATAATACATGTAGGCTATTTATTTTCTTAGAATTTAAATAAATCCTACTCTGTTCAAAGGGAATGAATTTCCTTCATTCGTTTCTTTATGTATTCATTTATTTCTCTTCTGTCCCTGTGGGACAGCCGTCACGAAACGAGAGAAAACGGACAATTAATTTTCCGTTTGAAGGAACTCTTTGGATCAGATGTGACCCCATCAGAACATCTCTGCCGGGAGAAATGAGCTCAAATCAACCCGAACAGAAAGTCAAAAAGAGTTCAATGATGTCGTCGTGTGCTGTAAATATTATAGACCAAATAATCTGATTTAATCGTAGCTCCAATAAAATTGGGTTTTAAAACTGTTTTGAATTAATCTGCACACATTAAATAAAACGTGTAAAAAAAAAAAAATCTGCGTCCTGATGCTCAATAATCCAGGTAGAAAAAAGTCAGGTCCTCTGGACGGGTTCCTCTTTGTTGAAACGTTTAGTTTTTTATCCAAACGACTTCTTATTGTAAAGTATAAAAATCTGTTTAATCGTGAACTCACTGAGTTTTGATCCTCTTCTTCAGGTCCAAGAGGCTTCAGAGTTGAAGAACCGTCCTGAGCAGCTTCAACGCCTGTAAGGAGCCACTGAGCTGAGCACAGAGGAGCATCCTGCTGGCTTTCTGGACCAGAACCAGGTCTACTCTAAACTGAAAGCTGTGCAGGAGGGCTGATCTGGGTCCTGCTTTCAGCTGCTGATCTCTCCTTGTGGCCATGATGCACAGACAACAGCCCTTTTATCAGATCTGATCACCAGGGGAGGGGACCCTCAGCATCACAGCTCCTCCTGATCAGAGCCCAGCTGACTTTACTGGGTACCATTTACTACCATTTAAACAGCAAAAATAACTTGCTGGACCAAACTCTGCTAACCTAAATGCACAATTCTCGAGCAAATGCAGTTAACTTTTAGCAGATCATCTCTGCAAACGTATGTCAAATCAAATTTGTTTATGAAGCACATTTAAAACAGCAGCTGTTACCAAAGTGCTTAACAGTAAGATCAAGACAGTAAAGAAACAAGATGTAATTAAAAGCATTGAAAATAAAAATATTAAAACATAAAAACAATGAGAAACAATGCAATAGTAAATCAAATCTCACTGTGTTAAACGTCACTGAATACAGGTGTGTTTTTAGGAGAGATTTAACAGCAGGGAGTGAAGTGGTCTGTCTACCATATTTTCTGCTGTACACGTCGCACCGCCCTATAAGTTGCATCAGTCCAAAGATGTCTAATAAAGTGGAAAAATTCAAAAATACGTCACATCTATTATGTGTCACAGCTGACAACCTGGAAGTGTGGGCCGGTGTTGTGCCATAAATCCATTAGCTGCCAAATGATGGCTATGGGAGCGTGCACGGGAGGACTTTAACAAGAATTTAACAAGATTAACACTTAAAAACAATTATTTGTTTGCTCGAAAGTATAGTAAACATGTGTTTCAGTCTAGCTTTTGCTTAATAAATGCACGTTGACGGTCAAATCAGCTGCATTTCAAAACCCGATACGCGGAAGTAGGAACGCGCAGAGGGACGAGTCGCTGCTCATTTCTTCTAAATTTAACAAGATAAACGCCTAAAAACAATTATTCGTTTGCTCGACTTCATAGTAAAGGTGTGTCTCAGTTGAACTTTTACTGAATAAAAGGACTTGAACTGTCAAATCAGCTGCATTTCAAAAGTATTCGGTGCTGAATGTTGAGCAGCAGATTGTTCCAAAGTTTAGGGTACAGGACTGAAAAAGCCTGATCTCTGAGCTTCAGCCTGGTTTTTGGTACGACCAAAAGCAGCTGGTCTGATGATCTCAGCGCTCGAGAAGGAACATATGGTAGGTCAGAGAGGTATGAAGGTGCAAGCCCATTAAACACTTAAAGGTCAACAGGAGAATTTTAAAAGCAATTCTGACACTCACAGGGAGCCAGTAAAGGGAGGACAAAACTGGTGAAATGTGCTCAAACCTACGAGTTCCTGTGTTTGTATACGTGTATGTGATCAGTTTGAACCCTCTGAAGATACTGATCATCTTAAAGGGATCCACGATTAGTTGTAACAATAGACTTAATTTGAGAATTATTTATTTTAGATGTATGAACAATACAGTAAAAATATTGTACGCTGCTTAGTTTTTTATAAAATTGTATAAAATATTGTCACACGGACGTCACCATGTTTGCACTGCAATGCATTCTGGGTAAATTATGTATTCTAGGTCCTGTAGTGCTAGCTCCATCCAGCCAAAACGGCCATCTTTGTGAAAAGAAACCGTCCATCATTAAACAGGGGTGGAGGCCTCCGGGTTCAACTGTCCCCCTCTTACAATGCTGTGATTGCTAGTATCACTCAGCCCTCTGTGAATAGTAAACAGCCATCAGTGTGTTAATGATCCATAGGCTGATGGTCCTTCTTGAGCATGTGATCAGCTGGTTTTGGTTGTCAGCAGCAAAACTGGTTGATCCACTCTGAGAAGGTGCTATTTAAGAGACTGAGCTGAATACAGCTCCTCAGACTGAGGAAGTCTCGGATGAGAGACGAAATGTTTCTACATTTTTTGTTGTTTTGCTTTGTTTTGTTTTTTTGAATGTCCAGAGGACCAGATTGAACTTTTTTGGAATCATTTGAAATGTTTTCTTTTTTTTTTTTTAATACATGATCATTTTGGTCACTTAAAGTAGAACAGATTAAAGACACTTGTGAAAAATTAGCTGTAATCGTCCTTTAACCGTTTCCAAAATCAGAAGCAAACTTCAGCTTCGTAAATGAAACGATGGATGAACACGTACCGCTGGTCGGACTGTGTGATCCGGTGAGTAGATGACGTGCTCTGTGTCTAATGTCAGGTCTGGTAGCACCTGTATAGGGTCTGGTCTTTGGTCTGGTGTTGGATCTGTGATTTTACATTCAGTACTAGCGGCAGTGGGAATAGCTAGAGCTTCCAGCGTTGCCTGTCTCTGATTCTTTTCCCAGCATCTTTCGCCTGCTACCTGGCGGCGGGGTTTAGGTGCTTTATGGTTAAAAATTGTCGGCCCGGCATTTGATTTTAACTTTCGCGGGTAACGACCACCTGTCAGCTCCTTCCAAGTCTTCTTGAGAGAAGTGCTGAGAGCACGAATGTGGGTCCTTTGGAAGGTTTGTTCTTTTGACAGCTTTTTCCCGTTGCGCTCTTCTTTTTTTTCAAGTGGGCAGCGATGCACAATCACCTCACTATTTTTGCCTTTGTCTGTTTTGAAATTACAGCCAACAGTGACGCAGTGTGGCATAATCTACATTTACGAACGCAATATCATAAAAACAACTCGGGTAATGTTAGCCTTCCCGTGTTTACTCTGTAGATTCCAGTACAGAATGGACCTAACTGTGTCATCAACCCAGCATGCATTGCGCAGGTGAAAAAATGGCTGCCTCCATGGGTGGAAAAATATAACAAAAGGTATAACATTTTTGAAGTAATTATGAGTTTCTACATATCACAAACAGCAATTTTTAAGTTAATAGGAAAAAATGCAACATATTTAGGCCAACATGTTCAACTAATCATGGATCCCTTTAAGTAAAATTTCAGATTTCTGCAGAACATATTAGCTCCTGAATCTGCTCCTGCTGGCCTTCTTCCCTCCTCCTCCTCCTCCTCCTCGTCTGTTTTGTATGTTCTTTTCTTCAAAGGAAGCCCAGGCTGTGTGTTAAGGCACACCTTCTTCACAGTGGCTTGATGGGCCACTTCATTTTTCCTCCCCTCACCAGATGATGCTCAGCTTCTTCTGTTTGCTCGGAGAAACATTTCCATGACAAAGACAGTGAGGGGCTCAGATCCCAGTGAGTCGTCACCTCTCAGATAAACACACAGAGCAGGGTAAATCCAAACTGAGCGGCAATCAGTCTGTGCTCTAATACACT